CACGGGGCGCACCGCCTGAGAGCGTGTACACCGGGCGTGGACACGGGGAGCTCCGTCTGAGAGCGTGTACACCGGGCGTGGACACGGGGCGCACCGTCTGAGAGCGCTGGCCCACAGTGCTCCTGAACGCCTCCCGGGAAGTTAGCTGGTCAGCGTACCGCAGCCTCTCCCCAGAACTGCCTCTGCCCTCACCTACCAGTGAGGTGAACGGATTACCCTTCGCCTCCCATGAGAAAGAGTCCCCCAGTGTGAGCGGGGGGGTCTGCTGACCACACTTCACAGTCCCTTCGCCTCCAAGCCATTCCCCGGCCTGCGCGGTATCCCCCAGTCTTAGTAAGGCAAGCGGGCCCTCGTTGGGACCCAGACTCCTGGCTCAAACGCCCTGTTCTGGGTCTCCCCATCACCCTGGGGTGTGTTTCTGTGATCACTCGCTAACTTTGCAGCTGTAAACTTCACCTTTTTCCGACCTTCGGGCTGCTTCCGAAGTGTCTGAGATGACTCAGCCCAGCCTCCCCAGGGGCCCATGTCCACCACCCAGAGCCCACCCCTGTGTGGGGCCAAAGGGGTAGCCAGGGGCTTGCAGCTGGAAAGAAGATCATAGGGAGGGGGCTCTTTCTCCCCAATCCCCGGGCCATATTCAACTCTAAGAGGGCCATTGAGAAGCCGAAAGGCCAGGTCCAGGGCAGGACAGGAGGCCGGTCTAGAGTCAGGACAGGACAGAGGTCCAAGGGAGGACAGGACAGAGGTCCAGGGGAGGACAGGAGGCCGGTCTAGGTCGAGTGGCAGAGTGAGAGGGCACCCTCACCTTCATCCTCTCCTGCATGGAGTCCACCTGCAGGAGGCTGGCTAGGAGAAGGGGGAGAAGAGAGGCCGCTCCCAGGGGTGCAGCCATACCTGGAGCCTGAGGTCCCCAAGGTTGTGGTCAGTGTGCCTCCAGGGTCTCTTAACAGTGGGGCAGTCTAGGCCAGGTCGTGGGCCAATCACAGGGCAGAGCGGGGCAGACAGCCTCGCCCACGCGGCTGGGTTTCGCCCAGCATAAATGCGCCTATTCGGGAGGACTGGCCGGCCTCCCAGATGGGCGCGTGGGGCAGCGGATGCTGACGTGGCCTGATTCTGCAGCTGAGTCTCTCTGAGAGGGTTGAGGCAGGCATTCCTAATTCGATCGCTAATGTCATTGTACCTTAAAAATCAGACAGACCACCCGGGATCTCCTAACAGGAGGAGGGAACGCCCCGCCCCGGAGCACATTGTCCAGCCCTGGACCGCGCTCACTGTCACACAGGTGCCCCTGAGCCGGGAAGACCCTGGGGAAATGCACAGAGAGGAAGCAAGGTACATTGCAGAAGATGCAGTGTTCTCGGCGATCATGGCGTAGGAGTTCCGGAGAGGCTGACCCTGCCTTTATCAGATGGGCAGCAGCTGAAAGGAGCAGGGGCAGCCAGGCATGGCGACTCCCACTTCCCGCAGCACAGTTGCCACTCTGAGGGCAGCTCCTACCCGGAAATACAGACAACGGACACGAACAGGAGGCTGCAAGCACATCTTTTATCTCCTGAACACTCCAGGGTCAGAGAATTACACAAGGGAGCACGTGGTCCCCTGAGAACAGTCGCTGCCCGGCACTTCTGGCCGAACCCGTAGCCCTGGCAGCCGGTAGCCACCCTGCCATGGCCAAGGCCTTTCCATTCCCCAGAACAGTTCTGTACATTTAGGACTTCAAGCGCTGATGTCCGAGTCAGCCGGTCCCCTGAATGCATGAGCCTCTGTCCTGGCCAGGCCAGCTCTCGTCTGCTGTGTCACGTGTGCCCTTGGGTCCCGAAGCCCGCCTTCCTCCTGTGACCACATGGGCACATGGAGCATGGTCCGTGCACCATCGCTTGCGCTGCTCAGAGAGTGGCAGTCTCCGGGCCGTCAGAGGCCTGGCAGTAACACGGCAGGGCCAACGTGGAATGACCGGGGGCACGCACGCCAGGCCCAGCTGTGCCCACGAAGGCGCGGGCGTGGGCTGCAGCTTCTCTCCCTGTCTCTGTCTCTCTCTCAAGGAAGAAACAGGTAAATGGTAAAAAGAAGCATGTATTTCTCATAAGGCTGTTAATGGGACCAGCAGATGGCATAATGGTTGTATCACCGGACTTCCACATGGCTGATGGTGCTTCGAGTCCCGAACCCAGTGCGAAGGTCCTGGGGGGAGAATGGAGAAGGGATTACAGTGTGGCCATCACCGCAGTCACCCCCAGGGGGATGATTCTCTCTTTCTGTCTCTCTGTCTCTCCAGCAAGTGCACATGCCCTATAGCAAAAATCTCTCCAAACAAAAAAGACAACTAGCTTCTTGAAGTTTAAACAAATCAGTTACTTTTTTTCCATTTGGACCCAAGTTTCAGAGGGTGGAGTTAAAGCCTACATCTGTGGCTGTACCGTCCCTTGGCACGCGGCTGTACCAGCCGTCTCTTCTGCATGCACACATGCGTTTGTGCCCAGACTGCCCCGCTTTCCGCCTCTCAGAAACCCTGTACTGGCCCCTGGTCCCCCCACAGGTGGCCAAACGGCCTTGGGGGACAGTGACAGTGCAGAGCGATAAAAACGGGGCGAGTGCAGGCACAGCTGTTCCTCCCACTCCCGGTGCCAGGAAGGGCAGATTCCGGCAACCACAGGCCTTCCAGAGCTGCTGCCACGGGGCAGCCCCTCTCGGCTGAGGCCACACCCTCACCCGGGCAGGCCCTGCACCGCTGACTCCTGTTACTAAGCCGAGGCTCTTTCTCTCCCTTCTAAACTCTTTTCACCGCCTCCCCGCCCTGCCCAACCCTGCCCTTCCAGGTTGGCCAGAAAAGCCACCTCATCTCCTCAACCCTGAAATCCGAAATCCAATGGCTTAATCCTTGCTGCTGGGGAGCCAGGCTTACAGTTCTCCTGGTACCTAGACTTCCTTCTCCCAGCGCCTCATCCAGGGGAGGAGCCCCACCTTGGTGTCCTCGTCACAGAGCTCGAAGCCCCGTGAGGCAGCCCACAGCTCCCGCCTGTGACACGTGCCTGCCCACAGCGGCTGGGTGCCATGGGGGTTAGATTGAGTGGCCTCCCAACCCTGCCTTCTCGGCCTCCGTGTCCCATTGTTTCCATGTCTCTGGAGACAAGGACTTCCCCCGCGCCTCCCATGAGGGAGCTGAAGTGACCCCACAGTGTCCTCGTCCTGGGAGTTGGTCTCAACAGGACTAAGGCTTCGGCCTAAGGGAAGGAGACTCCAGCAGCAGCAGCCCCTCCCTCCCGCACTTAACAAGTGGCTAAGGTTTTATCTACTCAGACTTTGAACAACTCACTTAGGCCTTCTTGCAGGGTGTGCATGTGTGTGTGGAGAGAGACAGAGACAGGGAGAAGGAGAGAGAGAGGTTACCCGGGGGGATTAGCCGTGCCACAGTCCCTTCTTCTCCAGTCTCCTCTTGGGGTTTTGCGCACCTGGTATGTTTTTCAAGCTGCCAGGTCCCGGACTCAAGCCATGCAGCTGACCCTGTGAGACCCTCCCCGCCCTGCCCAACCCTGCCCTTCCAGGTTGGCCAGAAAAGCCACCTCATCTCCTCAACCCTGAAATCCGAAATCCAATGGCTTAATCCTTGCTGCTGGGGAGCCAGGCTTACAGTTCTCCTGGTACCTAGACTTCCTTCTCCCAGCGCCTCATCCAGGGGAGGAGCCCCACCTTGGTGTCCTCGTCACAGAGCTCGAAGCCCCGTGAGGCAGCCCACAGCTCCCGCCTGTGACACGTGCCTGCCCACAGCGGCTGGGTGCCATGGGGGTTAGATTGAGTGGCCTCCCAACCCTGCCTTCTCGGCCTCCGTGTCCCATTGTTTCCATGTCTCTGGAGACAAGGACTTCCCCCGCGCCTCCCATGAGGGAGCTGAAGTGACCCCACAGTGTCCTCGTCCTGGGAGTTGGTCTCAACAGGACTAAGGCTTCGGCCTAAGGGAAGGAGACTCCAGCAGCAGCAGCCCCTCCCTCCCGCACTTAACAAGTGGCTAAGGTTTTATCTACTCAGACTTTGAACAACTCACTTAGGCCTTCTTGCAGGGTGTGCATGTGTGTGTGGAGAGAGACAGAGACAGGGAGAAGGAGAGAGAGAGGTTACCCGGGGGGATTAGCCGTGCCACAGTCCCTTCTTCTCCAGTCTCCTCTTGGGGTTTTGCGCACCTGGTATGTTTTTCAAGCTGCCAGGTCCCGGACTCAAGCCATGCAGCTGACCCTGTGAGACCCAGCATGGAACCCCTGCGCTGCCCACGGCCTCCGTAGGTCCTTTGCTCCTCAGGGCCACAGGCCGGTTCTTTCTGCAGGTCCAGGTTGCAGCCACCTTGTCTGCCTGGAGGGCTCTGCCCACCCCCTGAACGAGACCGGCCTGGCATCTGGGATCTGTGTCAGGTCTCCAGGGTCCTCTGACCCTGGATTCCAAGTGTTGGTCTTACCCCGAGTCTGCCGGCCCTGCCATCGGCTCATGTCCTCTGGGCTGACAGCCTGCGAGCCACCCTCGCGGCCTGAGGTGCTGTCTCCACGCTCAGCTGCAAGAGGAACGAGAGCACCTGTTCAGTCCTGCCTCCGGATCGTGAGCTCA